AAAAAAAAAACGAACTTCCCCCCTTCTTTTTTGGAGGCCCCGCACGACCTCCACTCGGGTCTAAAACACCCCTCCCCAACTTTTCTTTTCTTTTCGCGACCCCTTATTTTTGGGGTGCGCCACACCCCGTGCGAGCGTGTCATTTGCTGTGCGTAGTGCGGCACATGTGCGCGGTGCAGCGCACGTTGATGCGCCGCAAGTATGGTATTTTCTCAAGTAATTAGTCTTAGTTATGATGCGGTTTTTGCAAACAAAAAGGGGAAGGTCGAATTAGAGGCATGAGGAAGTGTGGGGGGCTTACTTAGAGGAGGGATGGGCGGGTCAGGATGGTAAGTCTAACTAGAAGGGTGGGGTGGGACGACATTGGTCAATGCTGGAGCATTTGCTCTGTGACCAGGGAGCTTGAGGCCATTGAAGTTATGCCGAGGGTGGAAGGCATATTCATCTCGCCTGACGTAGTTGTTGCCGGGGCGGTGACCCTGTAACCTTTTGAGGGGCCTTACATTTAAGAGAGTTGTCGAGGGGGGAAGGCGCTCTTTGTCCGTCAAAAACAGTTAGATCGATATTGAGGCAGTTTGTGTTGCCTTGTAACCCTAGCAGGGGGGTATGAGATCTGATGATTTCTGGTACAAGGATTGAAAGCCTGGTCGGCGTGTCCTTTATCTGTGGTGAGGGTAGGAGATGAATTGTTAGTGGTTCTAGTTCTCATCCTTTTTCCTTTTGGTTTCTAAATGGGAAGGTGAAAGTCGGAAGTATGGTTTGGAAGGAATTTTGGGTGGACTCGCGCAGTAGAGGAAGGGTGGCTCAGGGTGGTAAGTCTACTAGAAGGGCGGGGTGGGGCAACATTGGCGGGTGCTGGAGTAGTGGCTCTGTGACCAGAGGAGCCTGAGGCCTTTGGAGTTATGCCGAGAATGAAAGGCATAACTACCTCGTTCAACGTAGTTGATGCTGGGGCGGTGACCCTCTAACCCAGTAGGGGGGTTTTGCAGCTAAGGAGGTTGTCGGGGGAGGAAGACACCTCCTGTCCGTCAGAAAACAGTCAGTTCGGTGCTGGGGCATTTTGTGTTGCCTTGTCACAGAAACGCTGCTGCCTGCTTCTTGAACGCCTTCAAGGCTGCTGCGCTTAAAGGTTAGATGAGTGATTTGTACCAAAGTGACGCCATTACGACCTTATTGATGACTAGTGCCCTCCCGAAAATCGAGGTTGGCTTCTGATTCCATTCCATCATCCTGTCTTGAGCAGGCGACTGGACCCATTCGTCATTCGTGGTTGGCTTTCCGTTTGCTGTCATTTGGACATCCAACACTCTCACCGTGGCTTCCAGGGGGAGCCATTTAATGCGGGGGAGCTTCCGACGGTCGCTCCCCTTGATGGTGCATCCACCACCCCACTGTTTTGGTCCCCCAGTTGACAGCCATATCTGACAGTTTGCAGAACCGATCCATCAGCCTCTGTATCTCCTCCATGTTACCCTCCCAGGCATCGGTCATTATTGTGAGATCGTCGGCGAAGAGGGAGCATACCGGGATGGCTTCCTCTGGGATATTTGCAATCTTAATTTTCCTCATGTCCTTGTTATGCCGTAAATTGGCCAACAGTGTTTCCATAATTATAACAAAAAGGAAGGGGGCGATGGGGTCCCCTTGTCTGACCGAGCGCTGCAGCGTAATTGCTGGTGCTAAATTCTCATTTATTTGCACACGTGTCGTTGCATTATGGTGGAGGATATGAACCCATCTTCTCAGGTTGGGTCCGAAATTCATTTTCTGGAGGCATGCATCCAGGAAGGTCGAATCCACATGATCATAGGCCTTCTCGAAATCAATAAAGATGAAGGCCGCGTTCTGTTTCGATTGCTGAGCCAGATGGATCATCTCATTGACTAGGAGTATGTTTTCCTGGATGTTCCTGAGCCTTATAAATCCTGATTGGGCCGGGTGGATAATATCCTCCATTACCTCAAGCAATCGATTTGCGAGGGCTTTAGCAAGCATCTTGTAGACGACCGTTAGCAAGGTGATGGGTCGGTAGTTTCTGATATTCATTTTATCTCCTTTTTTGCATAAGAGGGACAACACTCCCTAACCCACGCATTCCCCCATCTGTCCTGTTTTCCACACCACCCCGTAGTAACTCATCAGGTCTTGGTGTAGGGTCGGCCACATGGTTTCCCAAAATTCTTTAGGAAAACCATCCATCCCTGGAGTTTTATCCTTGTCCATCTGAAGGACGACCGTCCATATCTCCTCTTTCTTAACAGGTTGTTCAATTTTGTCCTTCTGCTGAGGATTAAGAATTTTATCCAATGGGCCGAGGAAATCCTCCAGCTCCCTTTGGTGTCCTTCCTCAAGGGGGTTTGTTATTTGCGAGGAGAAGAGTTGCTTAAAAAAGGTTCGCGCCATACTTGTGCAGTGTGTCGTGGTGTTGGTCACCTCATATTCATTATCAGGATTAAGAAAAGCCTCAACAATGTTACGGTGTGCTCTTGCTTTTGCTATGCCAAAAAACCGTGTGTCCATGGTTCCTTCGGATGTCCATTTGGTGAGTTTTCCTCTGATTTTAGCTCCTTGCCACCTATATTGAGCGTGCTGCAGCAATCGCTCCCGCAACTCTTGAATAATATTACTAGGTTCATCCGAAGTCCCTTGGCTTTCCAAGGTGTGAAGTTGTTTGTGAAGTTCCATTTCCTGAAGGTTACGTTTCTTTGCGTTCCGCTTAGAGAATTCATTGCACTTCCGTCCTAAGAAGAGTAGGTCGTTATTGAACCACTGTATTTCTGAGTCAAATTGATGTCGGAAAGATCGCCATTGTTCCCATGCTTTGTTTATCATCTCCTGAAACTCTGGTGATTTTAGAAGGGAGGTATTCAGTTTGTAGAATCCTGGTCCTTGGTCCGGCCTTTTCCTAAAGGATAGTAAGGCCCCACACGTTTTGTGGTCCAGCCCCGGGTGGGGCTCTTTGGGAGAATTACTGCAATTCGCAGTGTAGGAGACAGTGGATGCGAGCACGCCATTAGCAGGGTAGCATGGGACGCAGTAATCCAACCCAAGGCTAAAGGTGGCTTGGGGATTATCGACCCGACTCTCCAAACCCAGGCCCTCAGCACGCAATGGATTAAAAACCTCATCCTGGAAACTGCCCAACCCTGACACCCGTTAGCCATGGAACAGATTGCCAGACTTGCACCAGAAGCCCCGGCAAGGGTGGACCCGCTCTTATGGCTAGATGACAGGTACCGGAAACTCCTGCGCAGAGGGAGAGGAGATCAAAGGGATGGCACATTAAAAGACGAATACTGACCACGAATGATCAAAATATGGCGGAAGCTCCCCCCCCCAGACCGTCCAGAACCAGAGAGATGGGAGGAAGTATATCGACAACCCCTCTTTGGCAATCGGCGCATCACGGATTCCGACGGGCAGGTGAGGTGCAGCTCCGCCCCTCCATGGAAAGGATGGATCAAACATGGGATAAGGAGGGTGGGGGACCTATGGGATGTCAGAACGGGAACATGGAGGAATCTAGAACAAATGAAGGAAAAACTACGCTATTGCCATCATGTACAGGAGGCTCTGGATGGAATAATAGAAGCTCTTCCCCTCCAATGGTATAATATTCTAAGAACGGGTCTAGTCCACAAGGAAGGAGACTGGGTGATGCAGAAAGGGGACCTTGGTAGGGTCGGGGTGGTCCACCTCGTCAGACCTACGGAAGTGTTAATTGAGTATTATATTATAACGAAGGGGAACAAACTAATTGGCAGCGCAACCGCCTTTGTCTGGACGGACAAGGAAGAAGTTGACCGGGTTAGAGTGATGGGGGAAGGAGAAAAACGTTGGGTATATAGACCTGGAACCCCGATCACAGAACTGGGTTTGGACCCAAGGGAGTGGAGATGGAAACCTGCTGGCCCGACACGAGGAGGTACCCACAGGGACACAACACTTGAAAACCTCTCTGTTAAAACCACATACAAGATGATCAAGCCAAGATGGAACCTAAAAGACACAGTGAATGATCGTTGGTATAGACACCTAAACGTTGACAGACATCTGCTAGCCCCAATTAAGTGGTTCCAGGAATGCAAGAGGAGGCCAGCCAAAATCACCTCCCTGCAATGGAAGATAACCCATAGGTGCCTTTCTACCAACAACTGGCTGATTGACCACACCAGGCTGGAACAGCAGGGCCGCGCTCTCCCCTGGTGCAGCAGATGCCTCCGAGAGTACCCGACCAAAAAAGCAGCCAAAACCATTGAGCACATCTTCCTACAGTGCCCGAACGTCGCCCTCACCTGGCACTGGTGGGAGCGGATCTGGCAGCACATAGTCCCTGGATCCCTCTGGCCATGGGACTGGCGGACCATCCTAACAGGCTATTGGCCAGTACAGCCCGAAGAGGAATTTGCGAATAACATGTTTGACCTGGGGAGACGAACAATCTTACGGACACTGTGGTGGCAAAGATGTGTTTTGACAATGGAAGAAGTACGATTGGAGGGGGAGGAGGTGCACGAGCATATCAAAAACCAACTCCAGTTGGACATAACTGATAGATGGCAGACAGTAAAACGCAAGCTAGACCTCCTTCAGCAACCAAAAGACATTAAAGAAAGGATCACTAAATTCTGCCAAGAATGGTTGGGGGGGGAAAGAGAAGACTGGATTGCGCAGGTGAGATGGTCAGGGGATGCGGACGAGGGCCTTCAGGGGGAGGGAGAGATGGTAAGAAGGGATTACTGCCTGAAATTTAAGGAATGGACTGACATTGACTCGAGCTTCCCAATGAGGCCAGCTTCCGATTTCTCGGACCCCTTCCCCCCACACCCTTTATCCCTAGTAGAATTAACGACGTCATGAGTCTCTGTTTTGGAGGCTGGTTTTTGTGGGGTAATGGGCAGAGTTTATCTTTATGGGGCAAACAGAGCAGCAAGGTTGACGGGCAAGCAGGGAAACGGAAGGAACTCACTGCTGCCCCTCAGTGGTTATGACTGGGCCCCTGCTACAGCCCTGTTTTTAGAATAGACCAGGATGGGACGCTGGACCCGGTTTCCAGCATCGGTGCTCTATCTCGTCCAACTTTTTTGCAGCAATAATTTCAAAAAAAGAGCCCGATTCTCAGCATAAATTTCTCAGTGCATTCTCAGGAAAGAGTCTAGTGTTCAGCAAAGACACAATAGGCACCATGAGGATAGTAGGTGGATGGCGGGGGCTAGGGGATGGAGGGAGACTCCACTGGTGCCCCCCGGTGTTTCTCCCCCCAATACCCGACCCTGCTACAAGATAGGTATAGAAGAGTAGATTGGATATGGGACGCTGGACCCGGTTTCCAGCAAAATGGCGTCACTTTCAACAATGTACTGTTTTGTAAAAGATGTATTTAAGGGACGCTGGACCCAGTTTCCAGCAGGTGTTGCTCCCCACCAATAGATGGAGTGGCCCGCCAGGCAAGCCTCAATCCCGGTGGTTCTCTTACCACCACCAGGATAGAGGCCTTGCATAACGGCCTTAAAAAAAAGAAAAGAAAAAAAAAAAGTGTTGCCTTGTCACCCTAGCAAGGGGGGTGTGAGAAGTAGCGACTTCTGGTACGAGGACTGAAAGCTTGAGCGGCGGTTTCTTGTCTGTAGCGAGGGTTTGAGTTGGATTGTGGTGTCTAAGGATTTTGAGTACTTCTTGCAACTCATTTCTAGGTTTCTTTGGTGCTGTTAGATTCAGGGACCTGCGTTTTTTTCAATGCCAGAACGACGCTGGGCGGAGCTGGGGGGTTGCCCTGTAACCTGTCGATAGCAGGAGCGTGAGGCCTGGTAGAGAGATCTGGGGATGCCTTGGGCCGGGCATTCCAAAGGAAAACCAAGGGTTGGTTGCTGTCGGGACAATGCTGGCCGGAGCTGGGGTGAGTTGTGTTGCCCTGTAACCTAGCAGGGTGGGGGCATGAGGCCTGGGAGAGCCCGGTAGGGAATTAGACAGTGCTAGATAATTTTAAGAGTGTTTTGTTGGGGTTTCCAGGGATTCTGAGCATTCGAAGGATTTTCGGGCTTTCTTGTTTTTCTTAGTAATAGGTCAGTAGTATTTACATTTTCCTAAATCTTCCTAAAATTTTCCTGAATTTTTCATAAGTTTCTAGATGTTTCTTAGCCGACATTTCAAATCAACTGTATAAATTCTACACACAMACACACACACACAAAAAAAAAAAAAAAAAAAAAAAAARAWMWAAACGTACCAAAGATGCACAAGTCGGAATGCTCCAGAACTGGAATCTGGCCGAAGGGCTGGAAAGTGAAACATAGAGAGATGCAGAAGATGGAACAAGATCACCAAACATACAAGCCATGCATCAGAATTGGTGGACAGAAGGGTATGATCACTCTCTTTTTTCCCTTTCTGCAGTACAGCTTGCAGACATGGGTGGGATCGTTATCCTGACCTTTGCCCTTTATTTTCTTGTACACAATGTTTTGGTTGAGGAAGAGCTCAGAGTCTTTGTTTTGGGGGGGGTAAGTACGTTTATGTCAGAACGGAGTTTCAAATGGGCAAACAAAACACAAGTGGGCAAAGGAAACAGCCACCCAATTGGAAAAGGCAATGAAAATATGGAGGTCGTGGTGTCAGGGCAGGTGTCATAACTTCAAGGGTCGGTCGTGGTGTTTAGACGGGAAAAGAAAAAAGAAAAAAAGGCCCAGCGGATCTATTTTGCCCATGCCCCATTCCAGTTGGGTGGATGTGTATTTGCTCGTGTGTGTTTTTCTTGCCCATTCGAGTTTGAAACCTACCGCGTCCGCACTTGTTTCTTTTTTTTCTTCTTTTCTTCTCTTTTCATTTTCTTTTTCTTCTTTTTTTTTTTTTTTTTTTTTTGAAGCCCTCTGCTACAGATAGGAATGATGATATAGGCATGCAGTCCTACCTATCCTAAGTATGGCTCCAGTCTATTGGTGGGGAGCATCACCTGCTGGAAAGCGAGTCCAGCGTACCCGTAAAAAACAAACATGATATACATCAAGCATGTGTCCCAAAAAATATATATATTCTTTGAGGGCAGTGCTCCTCAGTCCATGATGGAGCGCCAGCTCTCTCTGAAAAAACAAGCTACCCTGCCCTTCAGAAAACAAAGTATAAATTTGAAAATCACACCCCCTCTCTGTCAACTGACTACAGCTCGACCAGCGCAAATTGCGAACGAGGAAAGGGGTCTGCAAAACAGCTTGGAGATCTAAGGGAAGATCCTGGCTGCAACGCGAACCAGTCCCTGAAGCTGAGATGGAAGTTCCGCTTGAGAGGTTCCTCCAACCATTCTTTACCTGGCCACGCCACTTTACCCAGGCCCTACGCTTGAGTTGCCCCCAGCCAGTTCAAGATAACATTTCAAATTATTTTTTGTATATCATTTTTCTGATGCTGCTGAGGGAGCAGGAGGATTTAGGGGGCTGTTATGAACTGGGGCTGGGAGGTGAGGGGGCGCCTTCCAGCAGAGGCAGTGAAAGGACAGGAGTTTGTCTTGGGGGGAGGGGTGATCCGCTCGGTTTCTTGTGAGCTTTTTATATTAGCAGAGACGTAAATAGGTGTAGGAATTTCCATGGGGAGAGAAGTAGTTCCCTCACGTCCTCTCTCCTTGCAATGTGGGAAGAATAGGTGTTGACTGTTTTTTTTAGGTTACGATTCCTGTACTGGCGGGCCGCCGCGGCATGCAGATGGTGGCATGCTGGTTGCTTGCAGGCGAGGCGCTGGCTGTTGGCGGGGGGCGAGGCGCTGGCAACAGGTGAGTGGTGGGGCGCTAGTGACTTGCAGCTGGCGAGGCGCTGGCTTGGGGTAACTAGTAAGATGCTAGCTGTAGTAGCTGACACGAGGCGCGGCGCTGGCAGCCGATGGGAGGGAGGCACTGGTGCGAGGATGTTGTGATGTTGTGAATTAGATGGGGGATAGCGCTTGACACACGCGCAGTATCCAGAGGCGCTAGGTCATTACTACGTCACAGGCTGACGTGGCATCTGGCCTAAGGCACAGAGGAAAAGGGAGAATGGTAGCGGCAGCTGCTGTTTGAACATTTTCCATATGTTTTTCACATGAAGTACTCCATAGCCAAGACCTTTAAAGAGGTTGAAGAACTCATGCGAATTGACAAAGTCGATGTCGGTGGAGGAAAGTGGAGTCAGCCCCGTGGAGACCAAAGTGCGGAGAACGTTGGTCATACTTGAAGAATCATCACAGTGCCATTGCGAGAGTATCATCAAGAGAGCGGCTAGGAGGTCATCATCAACCTATATATGTGCTTTCGTCTGTTTTTTACCTTGTGCAGGTTATCCATCAAGAGCATCAAAATTTTCATCATTGTGATTTCAGCGGGGGGGTTTCATCAAGGACACCGTCATTTTTGCAATCCTCATTTGGTTATCGGTGGTAATCATCATCGGCTTCTCTAATTCGTCATCCATGATATTTATCTTCTTTTTATCTTCTTCATGATCATCATCCGTACTTCTCTGTAAAAATTGTAATCATCCTCATCTTCTATTTTCATTACAGCAATAGTGAGCTGTCAATCTTCCACACGGATGCCATTAGGGCATCGCAAGTCCGACGTTCCTTACTTATTTTCGCCAATTTTATTTCATCATCATCATCTACCAATCTGAATCTTTATCATCATCAATCATCATCAATCATCATCATCATCATCATCATCATCATCACCGTCATCGTCGTCATCATCATCATCATCATCATCATCATCACCATCACGGTTTCTTTATTCATTTTTTCATCAATCAGTAGTTATCTCTGTGTTGGTGGTTATATTCTCATCTCCCTAATAGGCTATGGTCTAGTTGGTAGGTAGGTTGGTCAGGAAGGGAGCGCTACTCCGCAGGGTAACACAAGGTGGGAGGTGATTGCCCTCCAGGTAGTAGCCGCAGACGATGGGAGCTGACCTGGGCTGGGGCTGGGAGATATGTATGGGGGCACATTATCTCCTGGCGGAGGCAGACTAGGTGAGAGTGTTAGTTTTGAGGTACACCTTTTGGGGGAACTGGTTACCTCAAGGTAGAAGGGAATAGGGAGGTTCTCTCTCTCGTTGGGGCTGATAGGAACTTCATGTTGATAGCGGGGTTGGGCTCAGCGAAGGCAGCAAGAGGAGAAGAGGAAATGAGGGGAGAGGAGGAGAATACATGGAAGAAGGGGAGGGGTGGAAATAAATAATCATCAGCGTCGTCATCATTATCCATCATCTTTGTGATCTTCTTAGGGTACTCATCAAATTTCATCATCAGAAAGTTTTGCTGATCAGGATTCTGATATTATCAGATCCTTGATTTCTGGTTGGCATTCTAGATTAGCTAATTTCCTAATCGAGTCTTCTTGTGTAATAGCCAGGTTGAGTTGCCGCCAGAACAACGTTAGCCGGCGCTGGGGCAGTGCCCTGTAACCTGCTTGTGTAGGAGCTTGAGGCTTTGTATAGACGTCTGGAATTGCCGAGGGAGGAAGGCAATCTGCAAACTTGACTAACGACTACAATCTGGCCGACGGTGGTCGGAGCTGGGGTAGGTAGCTCTGCCCTGTAACCGAGCCAGATTGGGGTGTGAGACCGGGAAGAGGCCTGATTGGTGCACAACACGGGCTCAATTGTGATTGGTTGTTTGGAATGGATACAGGAAATTAGGGATAGGATAGTAATTCAGTGCTGAGTAGACAATCTTTTTGATTAGTCATCATCTAGCTCTATTTCATGACCTCAATCACGCACTCTGACATCGTAAATCATCCAAAATGATCCTCAATCATCCCAAATTTTCATCAATTGTCAATCATCAATGTATTCCCATTATAAGGGACGCTGGGCCCGGTTCCCAGCACGTGATGCTCCCCACGAATAGATTGGAGCAAATAAAAAAGTGAAAAAAAAAAAGAAAAAAAAAAAAAGTTCCCTGAATTCTAGTGATTTTTGAGGTTGTAATAGCAAAAAAAATCATAATTTTGATGCTGGTTGCAGCGGACTGTGTTTGTGGCGAAGGGGCTAGCCAGTAGGGCGGAATTAGGGTACAGCAGCGGTGGAGATGGTAGCTCTACCGCAGTAAGTCTTGCCGGAGTAAGGTTGAGATGGTTTTTTTGGTTCGATGTCTGCATCCGGTGCTTGAAAATATTCCCAAGATCAATCCTTAGAGAACCTAACTTTCTGTGTAGATTGCATAGCTATCATCTTTAGCTGACGCCGGTTAATGGCCCCGGTAACTCAAAGTTTCTTACATAATCTTCTCAATATAGAAGTGCTGTTATAACATAGTCTTCTATATTTTCATCTACTAATCATCATATTCATCATCATCATATCCATCATCATCATCATTATCATCATCATCATCACATCATTAATATCATCATCTGATTATTGTTATATTAAGCATTTTGGTGTTCTGACATTTTGGCAGCATCTAGCTTTCTTCCACATTTGGGATACAGGACTTCAGAGATGGTTGAACCTCGACTGATATCTACTGAGTTGCTCTGTTCTGTGCCCTTGGTTTGTCGATGCCAGAACGACGCTGGCCGGAGCTGGGGCGTTGCCCTGTAACCTGTAAATGGCAGGAGTGTGAGGCCTTGTAGAGAGATCTGGGGTTTGCTGAGGGTGGAAGGCATTCCACTGGTGAACCGGGGGGGGCTGCAAGGAGGCGAGAAGAGATCAGCTATGGTTGATGTTGGTTAGGTTGGTTTTGTCTCTAACGTACAGTGTCCTGGTACAGGGAGGGCTAGGAGTTGTACTAGGATTAGGACGCCAGAATAGCTGATATAGCATGATCTTCTATATTTTTTCATCTATTTGAATCATTATTCTCATTACCATCATTATCTATGGTATCATCAGTATCATCATGGTCATCATCATAACCATTTGAGGGACGCTGAGCCCGGTTCTCAGCAGTTTCGGTTCGATCACTCCGGGCAGACTGTGAGGACCCCGGCCTCAATCTTATTATTGGTAATATCAGCCTTGGGC